GTGTAAAGATACATTCATACACACGTGGGTTAAAATAGAGGCCGGGGTCTGCTCCTCATGTCCCCTTGTAGTAACTTTGCAGGTGTTTGGCCCCCTACAGCTTTCCCTTGAATAACATTTCATTTTACACCCCCACGCAAACGTTATTGTGGACTCACAATTTAGGCTGCATCATTTCCACACACCAGAGGGCCGTCAGAAGTATGCAGTATCCTGTAAGAAAGCTCAACACAGCAATACCGGTACCACACCTTGGCCACAAATCAACTGGTACCACCTGAGCACAGATACCAATTCTTGGACTGTCCGGGTCAATCCTGGTGGCGGACCCTAGGCCTACCGAGGGCCTCTTAAATATAAGACTTTATGCAATTACTGTGAGGAGTGGTGGCGCAGTGGTTAGCGCTGTGGGCTTTGAACACGGCGACCTGATCAGTTCACATATCAATGGTGATATGTGAACTGATCCTCGATGACCTCCCCTTCCCCGATCCACAATAACCAGCATGGTGAAGTATGGTCAAACGGTCGCCATGACTGACACAGTGTCGGGAAGTCTTCATCCAGCAGTGGATTTCATAATAAATCCTACCGAGTGTAAGAATAACTATGCAGGGTGGCCCAAATGTCAGGACACCTCGGGTTATATTCATTTTAAAACTGGCATTGAAACATTGCAATTATGTATTCTATAAGTGAGTCTTTTATCCATTATCATTAATCATGTATATTTATTCTTCATTTTCAGATGACATTTAAAATGGATTTTTTTTACTGAATTGAGACAAAGCATAGTTGATGAATGTTCAAAGATTACAACTGTAATCTTTAAAAAAAATCATAAATTAATTTCAAAACAGAATTCCTGCATGCATTGATGTTAATTGAAGTCAGTTTGAACATTTGTTAACTTAAATTAATTAACTCTGTGATCTGTTGAAATATATAAAATAATCCTATGTGTCCTGACTTTTGGGCCACCCTATAGTCCATGAAATATTCTGAACTTCAGATAAACAGATGCAATCAACAGAGATCGTAATGAGACATGACTATACACACTGCTGGAAGGCACAGCAAGATAAAATAATACAAAAAAACAGGCCTTAATGTTGCAAGCCTTAATGTCTGATTGAAAGCTAACATTCCGTCTGAAAAACACCGCCGCAACTTGTGCAGTGCTTCGGACATAAGACCTGCGGTACCGTCATCAATAGGAAGTATACATGCAGCAGCAGCAGTAGCAGAAGAAGAAGGATGAACGCAGCTTTCAGACTGGGACAATGAAGCCATACTTTGCAATCTGAGATGCGCAACTTGGAGAATAGGAAGTTGGAAACGCAAGCTCCAGGGTCACTGAATGGAGGCATAGTCTGCCCCACAATAACTTGCGTGTAGCATCGAATAAAGGAAGTATTTTACAAAGTCTTTAAACCGACCAAAAAATTATCACAAAATCGTGTAAATGAATAAACTGATGATCCGATGGGCGCCAGTGGCATGGCGAAGTTGGCGTGGGCCCCGATGCAAGGGATGAGAGGGCCCCTCCCCCTGTCCAGTTCCCTTCTTCTTTCGCGGCCCGGCATCTGGGGCCCTTCAGCCCTTGGGTGCCAGCGTAGCTGCACTGCCTGCGCACTCCATTGTTACTCCACTCCCATAGATACAGTACAGTATATATGTAGTATATACCGTGTCACCGATGCTGTCAAAATCTCATTAATTTGAGCAGCAGGTCAGTGCACGCCGGAGTTGGTGATGTTGCACGAGGTATAACTACCGGACTGCTGTGGGCTAGTACGGTCACTATTCTATGTTCAGGAGCTAATTGCCAAAGTTGAGGTCCGTTGGCCACGGACAAGTGGCATCGGGAGAGAGTTCGTGCAGTTTTGCTGTTCTACCTCCTCCGTTGAAGGAACACAGGCTACAGTGAGTTTCCTAAATGGGCCAGAGTTTGGGTGCCATCGCGACAATCGCACTGCGGATGCCGTGGCTCGTTTGAAACTCTGTTTCCATTGCCTTTGTGTTAATTATTGCTATACCACTGATAGAATGTTGATAAACATGTTATTGTATAATGGAGCCAGCCCCTTCATGTCATGGTTTGAAAAACCATAGCCCCCCCCCTCCCACCAGCTAAACATTTCTGGCGCCAACACAGATGAGTAAAGTCCAGAGTCTGCTTTGCGGCTGGAGGTAAAATAAACCTCACCACAGTGCCGGGCAGTGTGCTGCTGATGCTGGTGAAACCAGGAGACTTACCGTGATAAATTATTAACAGCGTATGAAAGCAGATATTCATACATTGATTTTAAAAAAATGTACGAGCTATTTTATAATAGTTTGAATCTGTAAGCGTGAAGGTAAAATGTGCACTGTGGTGTATGCATCTATATGTATACTTAATTAATTATGCAGGGATATGAAAGTAAAATTACAATATTTTCTCAGAATTGTTGAAACAATATTTCACAGCCTTGGCAAAGATCGAGTTTTCAGTGAAATAAAATTTAATCATTTGTCAATACCTCGTGGTCATGTAGATTGGTGACTTAAGCGTTCAAACGCGAGTTAAAATCGGGCATCGCCCTTATACCACTCTCCAACCTCCAATATAAACACATTTATACAAATCTTCGCTTAAACTTCAGATTCGTTCAGCTCTGTTCATTTTCTTGCCCCAACGGAGCCGGTGACATTGGCCCCACTGTGAGTTGCCGCATATATTTTTTTATTGCCGAATAATTGTGAAAGCGCAGCACCAAGCAAGAAGCCCTCTTCGTGCCTAAACCCATTAACTCTGCCATTCAAAGCCTCCTGACTGCTGCCTACAAAGACCCCAATTTTACATGGTCCTGGCCTCCGCAGCTGCGCACTTCAGTGTAACCGCATTTCAATGGCACTAAAAGCCTCTGAGGGGGAGAAGAAAAATATGATTCCTCTTGCAAGAGGCCAAAAGGAGGTGGGGAGAAAAAAATCCCCGCTCGGTCACTGAAGCTTGCACGGGTGCCCACCGCACACTGGGCCCCCATTGAGGGTCAGGAATTTGGCAATGCGAGACATTTCCTCGCAGCAGGCAAGTGCCAGCCTTCATTCCAGCCAAGAGGGAGCCTGCCATTCTAGCCCGCGTCCCCAGCAGCAGGGGCATTTACTGCCGCTTGCCGTAAATAGCGGGCAACGTGCGCAAGCAGCCAGCCAGAAAACGGAGAGAACGGCAACGTATAGGTCGTCGGCATTTTTGTTTTATGTATTGTCATTCATCCCAAAATGCTTCGCACAACGCTGCACAATCCACAACACACACGGAGGTGGATGTATATATTGAGACTTTTTCAGCCAATTATATTATTAAGCGTTCATACATTTGGGAGGAAACCAGAACACCTGTAACAAACCCATGCATGTGAGGGAACAACGCCACCCCGTACAAATGGAACAGATAGAGATGAGTCCACACTTGCTGCACCGCCTTCTCCTGGACGGTCAGGGTATGGCAGCACGAGAAGAGAGTTTCTCAACGTCCGCGCGATGCGCCAACCCTCGCTGCCTCCATAGAGCTGGACTACAGGCCACGTGCAGTACAGCCACCACCGCCCAACCAAAGACCCTGGGGAGTGTGGCCACTGCTGCAGCGGAGTTATTGTGGAGGAGGGGGGGGGGCTAGGGGGTGTTCGGATACCAGAACAGCAGAGAGTTCAGGGCTTACGCAGCTGCTGACACCGTTTCGAGGCAGCTGTCAATGCTGCACAACGCCACAAATAAAAAAAATACTATGCACAGTCCTTATTGTGCTGTCACTCTTTATACAGCTGTTAGTTTGTGGTGGGAATGCCGCCATGGCAATGCAGAGTTCGCTGGTTGAACTACTAAACTTTTTTTATTTTACCAAGTAAGGCCCATTGAGCTAAATGTGGCGAGAAAAACCTGAGGACCCGGAGAAAAATCAACGCGACAACGGGGAGAGAGAGAGAACGCAAAAAACAAATATACAGCCATCAGCGTCGGGTCAAACCCACAATCTCCTGCATGCCAGCAGTTAACATTTCGCCACCGCGACTATTGTAAAAGTGGCGCAAATGTATAATATCTCAACCCACCTCTGTCCACGCAGCAGTCTAAATTGGTGAATCACAGGAAATTGAATGTTAGGGTTGTACGCAGTGGGGTGAAGCGTGGGTACTATCTAACCTCATCTAAGAAGTGTGGCCAGCGTGAAAGAGTAGGCCAAGAACACCCACGAGATTTCCCTCTCGTGAAGGCCGTTCTGCCAGCAGTGGTACGAGCCATCGCTTGCAAAGCTGTGCATTTAAACTGTTGTCACCTTTCCGTCATGTAATAATTTACTTTATTTTAGACGTTACAATTACCGTCTTAACATTTTACGCGTGTATCTTTTCACGTACAAAATTAAGCGTTTCCAAACGTTAAAACCAACGATTCTATTTTGAGACGCGAGATGGAAGACTGCTCCGAGAAAGCTATGGTTTCAGAACCCTGACTGGTAACAATTAAAAGCCACGCGGTCCATTGACTCACTCGCAGGTGCGGTCTCTTGCTCCGCCGCACCATTCAGGGTAAATATTCACGTCATCAACTCTTTATTTACTCACAGAGTCAAGAACAAAGCCCCTCTGTGCGTTATTTTGCCCTTAAAGTCACGCATTTTAGCGGCCGGAGCGTGGACAAAAAAATAACAACGGCGGTATTCATGGCCGGTGACCAAGAAGAATTGAACAAACCCGTCAAAGCCATTGTGTGTACTCGCACACGGAACGTCACTTTGCAGCTCGGTGGGTTATTCGCGTTCTGAAATACGACGACGGCAGAGGAACCTCGCGTGGCGGCAGAGACCGGTTTGCCGCAATCCGTGGCACGGCGATAATCACAGCGGTCAAAAGTGCATTTCGAATAGCGATCAGAGCACACGCCCGTTTCTGCACGAGGTGGAAAACCTCTATCAACGATACCGAGATTAATTTTATCGGTGCGCCGCCTCCGAGTACCTTGAGAAGCTTCCTTCGCTCACCCTTCTTCCTCGTCTTCCTCCCTCTCGTTCTCTTCCCCTTGGCTGCCAGAGATGCTTCGCTCTGATGATCCGGTCTGTCGGGGGTGTCCTCCTCCTCCTCCTCGCAGCAGGTGAAGCTCACCGTGCAACCCATGGGGTTCCCCGAGCGTCGCTCACCGCCCCCGTGGAGCACCTGGACGCCAAGGAGCTTCTCCCCAGGCTCTCCGAGCTAACAATCAGCTGGCTCGGCAAACCTCCCCCCCCCACCTCCTCCCACACCGCTTGTGTGGCGTTTTTTAAAAAAAAATCCCCTCCTTTCAAAAATAAAACATGTCCAAAGATTTGGACAGCGACCAACGCAGCGCGATTATTAACGGTGCCTCTCCGCCACGCGCACGCCTCTCATGCTCGGCATATCGAGCCGCGCTGGGGGGCTTCGCATTTTCATTACCCACACTGCCACCCTGGCACTGGGAAAAAAAACAGGTGGCAGCACTATTTTGCTCTCACCATTCCCCCTCCTACTTTGATGCCCTCCCTTCCTCTCTCTCTTCTCCGTGTGCTTCTCCCTCGACTTATTTTGCTCTCTCTCTCCCTACCTCCCTCTCTCTCTCTCTTCCTCTCTCTCTCCCTCTCCCAATTCTCTTCTGCTCCCCACTGCGTCTAGGCAAGTCCGTTGTGTTGGATCGGTCGGTGTTATTGTCGAAAGGAATTTAATGTCCAAAGTCATGCGCTGGCACTGCACATGTGTGCACACACGTGCGTGTGTGTGTGTGCGTAGGAGGGAGGGTTTGTCTGCTGCCGTCACTGCGTTGGCGATCTCCGCTGTGCACGGCAGCAAGAAAGGAAACCAGAGCCATGCCAAAGTCACTCTCCCAAAGTGCGCCACTGCGAAAGTGGCTCACTGCCCCCCCTCCCTCTCCCGCCCTCTATACAAGGGCATAAAAAGCCACTTTTGGCATTTGTTGACCAAGGGCCAGGAGGTTCATTTGCTGTGATAGTTGATCCGTTGAGAGAAGACCATTTAATTTGAAAATGCTTTTAGTTTTTATTTAAATATCGCTTGATTCTCTTCAATATGACAAATTATGCAACATTTCAAAGAAATCAAAATGCAAAAAAAGCTCAGGTTAAGTATAAACTTTCGTTTATTGGCTCTTCTCACAGTCAGGAAATACATTTTAAAACACATCCTCCAAATGAATCTTCGGACGTCTTTTAAGATTCGCCAAATTAAAAATGCAACGAGACTGAACACCGCCAGTCCACCCCTCTTACTTTCCCGGTGGAGGCCTTTATTTAGCCATTTACAAAATTCCCGTTGGCGGATTTGAGTTTCCACATGCCGAGCAGACACGGCGCGCGATATCCCCTTTCGTCCCCAACAGCGAAGCCGCGAGGCACGCCACGAGCCCGCGTCGGAAAGAGAACCTCCAAAATCAAAGTCCTCCGCTAACGCTCTGCGCTTCTCCACCATTTGTGTTTCGGCAACCGTAAAACCCGAATTCCACCGACGACACTCGGGCTGAGGAGGAATATTTCTGGGGCGAGACACTCTCGGTCACTGACCCACTTGGGATCTAAGCAGCGAGGGAGGTTAAATCAGGCATCCCCACCGCACTGCTGTCACCGACACGGAAATTCAATCTCAGTGGGAGTGTAATTGGGTTTGGAGGATATCTGCTCCTCGGTTATCTCAGTGCTGTATGGTTTAGTTTTAAAAATAAATATTTTGACATCCAAAGTATTTGAGATTGCACGCGATTCTTCGTCGGGGGGCGGGGGTGGGGAGGTGTTCGCGTGCAGTACTTTGGTGAAGAATACTTCCAACGATTTTGAACTGTGATTTGATAATTTATCGCCTGGAAAATTACATATCCATGTATACCATGTGCAAGGACTTCATTTTACTACCATTAGACAACACATTATTTTCATGAGACTACAAATAATCCAGAGGTGTCAGTAAAAAAAATATTGCTGTGGTTGTCACACCTGATGATGATTGCTTGTGTTGCAATCGAAACGTCGTGATTTAATTTATTTTACTTTTTCATCTACGTGACTTTACAGAAAGAACCAAATTAATATGGATCCTTCCAGTCACGAAAACTTCAAATCTAGAATAAATCCGGAGGTAATCGAAACACCAGAAGTTAACCCAAGCTGCCAATGTAACTACCACTCTATTTTAATAGGCGGTGCCTACACATTGTACACATTGTACACATCGTACACGCATTTGTCAAACCACTGCTGGCTGAGGGCATCTAAATGCCACACGGGGTGTGGGAGTCATTCGAACACACTTCAACGTGCGGGTCGATGAAGGTGGGGAGCATAGACATGAGAAGATAGTAGAGTACAATAGATTATTGTAGACAGTCCTTTGTCACCCATAACGTAGGTGCACTTGGACACGGACAGATTAAGAGTGAGGTCACCCAGTGAACTCAACTGTGCAACAGATTGAATGAAGTCAATGATTCATTTCCTGCCGGCTCAGAGTAATTTCTGACCGACATTAATTCAGCATTCGAGTGCTGTGAAGTGTAAGTTAAAGACCCTGTTACATTACTTACGAAAGTAGGACGCTGTATTTTAGTTGAATAACTACGAGCTCAAATTTAAATATTGCGAAACCTGGGACAAACGCGGTGGAAAACCCACCCCCTCAAATTGTTACCCACGTCTCCCATTCACAGTGTTACCCACGTCTCCCATTCATAGTGTTACCCACGTCTCCCATTCATAGTGTTACCCACGTCTCCCATTCACAGTGTTACCCACGTCTCCCATTCATAGTGTTACTCACGTCTCCCATTCATAGTGTTACCCACGTCTCCCATTCATAGTGTTACCCACGTCTCCCATTCACAGTGTTACCCACGTCTCCCATTCATAGTGTTACTCACGTCTCCCATTCATAGTGTTACCCACATCTCCCATTCATAGTGTTACCCACGTCTCCCATTCACAGTGTTACCCACGTCTCCCATTCATAGTGTTACCCACGTCTCCCATTCATAGTGTTACCCACGTCTCCCATTCACAGTGTTACCCACGTCTCCCATTCATAGTGTTACCCACGTCTCCCATTCATAGTGTTACTCACGTCTCCCATTCATAGTGTTACCCACATCTCCCATTCATAGTGTTACCCACGTCTCCCATTCACAGTGTTACCCACATCTCCCATTCATAGTGTTACCCACGTCTCCCATTCATAGTGTTACCCACGTCTCCCATTCACAGTGTTACCCAGGTCTCCCATTCACAGTGTTACCCACATCTCCCATTCATAGTGTTACCCACGTCTCCCATTCATAGTGTTACCCACGTCTCCCATTCACAGTGTTACCCACGTCTCCCATTCACAGTGTTACCTACGTCTCCCATTCATAGTGTTACCCACGTCTCCCATTCATAGTGTTACCCACGTCTCCCATTCATAGTGTTACCCACGTCTCCCATTCATAGTGTTACCCACGTCTCCCATTCATAGTGTTACCCACGTCTCCCATTCATAGTGTTACCCACGTCTCCCATTCACAGTGTTACCCACGTCTCCCATTCATAGTGTTACCCACGTCTCCCATTCATAGTGTTACCCACGTCTCCCATTCACAGTGTTATCCACGTCTCCCATTCATAGTGTTACCCACGTCTCCCATTCATAGTGTTACCCACGTCTCCCATTCATAGTGTTACCCACGTCTCCCATTCATAGTGATATCCACGTCTCCCATTCAAAACAAATGCATCTCAATTTTCTGTCATTTGATTATGGGGGCCTAAATGCATTTATAATGCCATTTACACAAACCCACATGGCATCGCTAATGGACTGCTATGTTTCTAAGTAGTTAATAGAGGCAAAAAAAGGCAGATTACTGAGAGAAAAAGCAGAAACATGTCCCTTGGACACTCTCCAGCAGCGAGCCTTCCCAGAAGCGACAGCGAGTGATCTATCATCTTTTACATTGCAACCGCGGCGCTCCGTACATTTGTCCCTCCCCACTTAAGTGCTCAGGTATCTTATTTCACAGGATCTAGACATCTTGAAGAAATGTTACTTCCTTCGGTAATTATTTCCACATAACACGCACCAAAAAAATATTTAGTTTCAGTGCAAGGCAATGTTAAATCGGAGGAAGATGTTATCGTTTTTGAATAAACACAATGAAAGGCAGCTCAGGCAAAAAAAAAATATATGCCAGACGATTCTAAGCGTTACATTTAAAAGATAAATACACAACTGCAGTTTGACTCTAAATTATTTTGTCAAATAAAGACAGGTCCAAGACTCTACTTTATCAAGCACTGCAGGTCGGTGGTATTTAATTAAGTCAAATGTCCTGGGGCCCTTTGAAAAGAGGCCACCACAGGTTGCCAAGGCTGTAAAAATGGCACCAGCAGTGGTACTTATTCAGAGGATGCTGATGGGCATTGGTCCACAGATAGACGCTGGCACAGAGCCATCTATAAAAACAGCCCCCTACTCGGCCCCACTTAACCCCTAACACTGCCCCCCCCACCACCCCCTCCCGCTTATTCCCCTACCCCACCACCTATTCCCTCAATACATTCCTGATGCTTCCACGAGGCAGTTCCCTGGAAGCGCTCTCCCGCCAGCAAAACAACAGCGCGCTGAGCGGAACTCCGGCTCCGGTTCTCCCAACGGGAGACGTCGCCGTGCGTCCAGGGCACGGGACAGCGCACGTGGCGACCGGCTCGGGCCCCAGCCGGAACCGAATGAGGACGCTTATATAAATGCACACACATGTATATAATGTCCACCGATCGGTTTGAAACTCGAGCAGGTGGTGGGCAATTTGCATGAGAAGAATCAACCTCGAGAGGAAGAAGTTTAAGAGCCCGGGCGTAAATAAGGAAGACGGGGACATTTTTACGGTGGACGCTGAAAGGGGCTCACGCCACAAAGCGCGGCATTCACGTTGGCCCCGCTGGCTGTGCCACCGCGATGCCTCGGCATTCATTCGCCGCTGCCCGCCGGCGAGACCACCGAAGGCACACACCCTGCCCAGCACCCTCTGAACTGTGCCACGCTTGCCCCTCGTCGCTAATAAGGCTGGCCATTTACAGACGTGTTTACCTTTAATTAGTTTGAAACTAGACCTTGACAGATTTTTTTTTCTTTTTTAAATACATAGCGTTCTTTTTTCAAAAAGCTAAAATAACAAAAAGTGGAAAGTAGTGAAAAGCAAATGAAAATTCGACGGGTTGTGATTCTTTACTACGAGTGATATTTGTTTCACAGTAAAACTTTGAAATGATGAAAAATAATGAGCTAGACATCACCTAAGCGCTTGTATGTCAGGTAATTAAGCATTGGGTAACCCTTCAACACGGGGTGTGTTCTTCTGCAATACATCACTGAAAAACAGGCGTAATAGCCTCAGTATTAAATTTTACCATTAAAACATGTGGCTGACCAAATGCTCTCGATATATATTAGAAGTTAATATTTGATTACAACGAACAACGTCCGAGCAGCCAAGAATAACATTGAACTTGCGTAATATTTTCCATCATTGGTCACAGATGAGAATCTCTGGACATGGATGAGTGCACTCAGATAAACAGCGTGAGTGCCGCCGCGCTCGACAATCATTAGCCATCCGCTCCTGTTCCCCTTCTCCACAGCTGTGCCGCATCAAAATCACCTGCACGATGTAAACAACGAATAGTTCTCAGCACACACGAGGCGCCCCCCCCCACGGACCACCGGCCACGTTCACAGCTGCCCCAAGGATTGCGTGACCCTGACGGCGATTACCGTTCGACAGCACAAACTCGTCCGCACCCCATTCG